GACAAATTTTTGCACAGAGTACTGAATTAGGTCTAGATTGATGCATGTCAAGTTTTGTATTGGATTTTGTGTCAAGATAAATTTTGGATGGCACACTGTGTTGCAGCATAGGAAATTGTAGATGCCACGGTTGCCCCAATACGTCCATTTATATATAGATCTTTTACATATTTTGCTCGATGATTGATATTCAATTTTTCATAAATTTCAGATTGATACCCAAAATGGTGAAGGCCCCGTCCGACTCTTGAACTTTCCTTACCGGTTTTAATTAATTCCGACCATAAATTACCTAACCTCCCAAATATTCCAAAATATCTATTCATAAAATTATTTTTAAAGGTAACCCTCTACTCAAAAATTATTTAACGAAACCCGCATATAATGGCATAGGTCTTTAAAAATGATAAAACCACGCCTTTAGGCCAGGTATTAAAAAACCACGACTATATTTTCCTAAAATTATTACAAACATTCGGATGAATGCGCCCAAAATAGTCTTTGAATAATACTCGTTTAATGCCCACACCTACAGGATTTATAGGGTTCCAAAAATAGTATTTGAATAATACTCTTATATACCCACATCTACAAGATTTATGTATTCTTAAAGTACTCAAACCTACAGGATTTATAGGCTTCCGAAAATAGTACTGAAAAATATTCTTAAAGTGCTCAAACGTACAGGATTTATAGGCTTCCGAAAATAGTCTTTCAAACCTACGCCTTAAGATAGTCTTTAAAAAATCTACGCCTTAAGATAGTCTTTAAAAAATCTACGCTTCAAGATAGTCTTTAAAAAATGTTTACGCCTTAAGATAGTCTTAAAAAAAATCTACGCTTCAAGATAGTCTTTAAAAAAATTTACGCTTCAAGATAGTCTTTAAAAAATTTACGCCTTAAGATAGTCTTTAAAAAATCTACGCCTTAAGAAAGTCTTTAAAAAAATTTTTACGCCTTAAGATAGTCTTTAAAAAAAATCTACGCCTTAAGATAGTCTTTAAAAAATCTACGCCTTAAGATAGTCTTTAAAAAATCTACGCCTTATGATAGTCTTTAAAAAATCTACGCCTTATGATAGTCTTTAAAAAATCTACGCCTTATGATATTCTTTTAAAAATCTACGCCTTATGATAGTCTTTAAAAAATCTACGCCTTATGATAGTCTTTAAAAAATCTACGCCTTATGATAGTCTTTAAAAAATCTACGCCTTAAGAAAGTCTTTAAAAAATCTACGCCTTAAGATAGTCTTTAAAAAATCTACGCCTTAAGATAGTCTTTAAAAAAATTATGCTTTAAGATAGTCTTTAAAAAATCTACGCCTTAAGATAGTCTTTAAAAAATCTACGCCTTAAGATAGTCTTTAAAAAATGTATGCTTTAAGATAGTCTTTAAAAAATCTACGCCTTATGATAGTCTTTAAAAAATCTACGCCTTATGATAGCCTTTAAAAAATCTACGCCTTATGATAGTCTTTGAAAAATCTACGCCTTAAGATAGTCTTTAAAAATCTACGCCTTAAGATAGTCTTTAAAAAATCTACGCCTTAAGATAGTCTTTAAAAATCTACGCCTTAAGATAATCTTTAAAAAAATTTTTACGCCTTAAGATAGTCTTTAAAAATTAAAAAATCTACGCCTTATGGTAGTCTTTAAAAAATCTACGCCTTAAGAAAGTCTTTAAAAAATCTACGCCTTATGATAGTCTTTAAAAAATCTACGCCTTATGATAGCCTTTAAAAAATCTACGCCTTATGATAGTCTTTGAAAAATATACGCCTTAAGATAGTCTTTAAAAAATGTATGCTTTAAGATAGTCTTTAAAAAATCTACGCCTTAAGATAGTCTTTAAAAAATGTATGCTTTAAGATAGTCTTTAAAAAATCTACGCCTTATGATAGTCTTTAAAAAATCTACGCCTTATGATAGCCTTTAAAAAATCTACGCCTTATGATAGTCTTTGAAAAATCTACGCCTTAAGATAGTCTTTAAAAATCTACGCCTTAAGATAGTCTTTAAAAAATCTACGCCTTAAGATAGTCTTTAAAAAAATTTTTACGCCTTAAGATAGTCTTTAAAAATTAAAAAATCTACGCCTTATGGTAGTCTTTAAAAAATCTACGCCTTAAGAAAGTCTTTAAAAAATCTACGCCTTATGATAGTCTTTCAAAAATCTACGCCTTATGATAGCCTTTAAAAAATCTACGCCTTATGATAGTCTTTGAAAAATCTACGCCTTAAGATAGTCTTTAAAAAATGTATGCTTTAAGATAGTCTTTAAAAAATCTACGCCTTATGATAGTCTTTAAAAAATCTACGCCTTATGATAGCCTTTAAAAAATCTACGCCTTATGATAGTCTTTGAAAAATCTACGCCTTAAGATAGTCTTTAAAAATCTACGCCTTAAGATAGTCTTTAAAAAATCTACGCCTTAAGATATGCCAGGAAAAAATTATTTAAAAATCTACGCCTTAAGATAGTCTTTAAAAAAATTTTTACGCCTTAAGATAGTCTTTAAAAATTAAAAAATCTACGCCTTATGGTAGTCTTTAAAAAATCTACGCCTTAAGAAAGTCTTTAAAAAATCTACGCCTTATGATAGTCTTTAAAAAATCTACGCCTTATGATAGTCTTTAAAAAAATTTTTACGCCTTAAGATAGTCTTTAAAAAAAATTTTACGCCTTAAGATAGTCTTTAAAAAAAATTTTACGCCTTAAGATAGTCTTTAAAAAATCTACGCCTTATGATACTCTTTAAAAAATCTACGCCTTATGATAGTCTTTAAAAAATCTACGCCTTAAGATATTCTTTAAAAAATCTACGCCTTAAGATAGTCTTTAAAAAATCTATGCCTTAAGATATTCTTTAAAAAATCTACGCCTTAAGATAGTCTTTAAAAAATCTATGCCTTAAGATAGTCTTTAAAAAATCTACGCCTTATGATAGTCTTTAAAAAATCTACGCCTTAAGAAAGTCTTTAAAAAATCTACGCCTTAAGAAAGTCTTTAAAAACTCTACCCCTAAGATAGTCTTTAAAAAATCTACGCCTTAAGATAGTCTTTAAAAAATTTATGCTTTAAGATAGTCTTTAAAAAATCTACGCCTTAAGATAGTCTTTAAAAAATCTACGCCTTATGATAGTCTTTAAAAAATCTACGCCTTATGATAGTCTTTAAAAAATCTACGCCTTATGATAGTCTTTAAAAAATCTACGCCTTATGATAGTCTTTAAAAAATCTACGCCTTATGATAGTCTTTAAAAAATCTACGCCTTAAGATAGTCTTTAAAAAATCTACGCCTTAAGATAGTCTTTAAAAATCTACGCCTTAAGATAGTCTTTAAAAAAATTTTTACGCCTTAAGAAAGTCTTTAAAAAATCTACGCCTTAAGATAGTCTTTAAAAACATCTACGTCTTAAGAAAGTCTTTAAAAAATCTACGCCTTAAGGAAGTCTTTAAAAAATCTACGCCTTAAGATAGTCTTTAAAAAATCTACGCCTTAAGATAGTCTTTAAAAAATCTACGCCTTAAGATAGTCTTTAAAAAAATCTACGCCTTAAGATCGTCTTTGAAAAATCTACGCCTTAAGGCATTTGAAAAATATTCTTTAATAAAAATATTCTTAAGATAGTCTTTGAAAAATATTCTTTAAAAAATTGCGTCTTAAGATAGTCTTTGAAAAATATTCTTTAAAAATCTACGACTTAATATAGTATTTAAAAATTTTATTTTAAAAAAACGGCCTCTTGAGATTCTTTAAACAAAATCGATGCCTTGTGATAGGCTTCGAAACAATTTTTTTTTTTCGCATTCAAGCCTTTTGTTTTATTTATTTTAAAATCAAGCCTTGGAAAAAGCTTTGAATCTTTTTTATACCCTACACAACTATGTTGTCAGGGTATTATAGCTTTGTGCAGCCCCAAATGTTTGTAACGCCGCGAAATATTGGTCCTAGACCCACCTTTAAGTATACCGATCGTCATATCTCGACTAGCTGAGTCGATCTAGACATGTGTGTCCGTCCGTCCGTCCGTCCGTCTGTCCATTATAATTTGTAAACACGATACAGGCCACAGTTATGGACCAATCTTCACGAAATTTTGCATGTAGGATGGGTTCTGGCCAATGAAGACCCCTATTGTTTTTGGAAAAGATCAGTTAGTATTTAGGGGATGAAATGGACCAAATACTAAATTTTTGTCGGTTTTTCTGGTCGCTCCAGAGGCCGCAATTATGGCCAAAACACCGCGAATTTTTGCATGGAGAAGGGGATCGGGCCAGAGAATAAGCATGCATGTTTTGATAAAGATCGGTCAATATTTAGCGGGTCAAATGGACCCTGACTTTTGTGTGAAAATTGACAAAATTTGTATTCTATGGCATATATATTTACTCCTGGAGGTTGTAGACCCCAGGAGTTGATAGCATATCCAAGAGGAGTGGTTGGCGTTTAAATTGATACCAAATATAGTGATGTATCTACTCAGATGTGGGAGTTACAGTCAAATATTTACAGGTGCTTACGTATTCAGATATTATTTAGTAACCCATTACCACATTAGAGGGAGAAATATCGCGCTGATGGCTTTGAAATTTTTCATGAAGTTCCAGTTATGGTCAAGAACAACGCCTACAATTTTCGGTGATGATCAGATTAAAATTTTGGGATGAAATGGACCGAAAACATAATTTTTAGTGTGTTTTCAAGTAGAGTATAATCCAAAAATCACAACACAACCCACCGTGAAGGTAATCTGGACAAGTAATTAGAAGGACTGTACTGAATATTCGAAAAAAGTAAGGAAGAGGTGTTGTTAACCTCTAATCGGACAAGAGGGGGCAAATATCACGAAATATTACTCCGACTCGGAATAAACATCCTCAGAAAGTTAGAGTTCGTGGTAGTTGTGTAGGGTATCGTATGGTCGGCCCCGTCCGACTATACTGCTCCGCTCACTGGTTTATATATATAAGTAGTAATAAAAAACTCCCACTTACCAAACCATTACAAGCTGACAAAGCTACCCTCGAATCTGGTTGATCCTTAATCCGTCCATTATAATGACAATTGGTATTTTTTTGCAAACGTTTACGGGTACGCAAATCCCGACGATGTCTTTCCACAATCAGGTGCGGTGTCATAAAATAACTATGTGGCCTGAAAATACAAGAAACCGAATTACTTCCTTCAATGCCCCCCATGACATATCAAGGCATCCTTACTCCAATTCCAAATGCAGCGTTTCATTTTCTATATCCAAATGATAGTGAACTTCTGGCTCCAATTGTGTATCGTCGATACTGCGACGTTTACGATTATGTTTGTAATGCTGGCCATGATGATGTTGCAGGTTGTGCGATACAAATTCACCATTTCTGTTGACTTTACGCGGTATTATTAATTCTCCAGATTTCAGTTCGTCCGAATGCAGGCCTGAAAAAGAGAGCGAGAGAGGGAAACATCAATAAAATTGCAATTTATCAATACATCGATGGCCAACCATGTGCCACTACCACAAAATTGAGTTGTTAACTTCAAAAACGAACAAAAACAACAAAATGACGCGAATTTCTTCGAATCGATATAATTAAAATAAACGACTTCTATGAACATCCCATAAATCACACCATATGTTCGTGCAAAAGAATTGATCGGTGCTTGTCGTGTATGAGTTGAGCTGATGTGGTTTACAAATTTGTTGTTGCTTTGCCATACAGCAACAAATTTAAATTAAATTTTAAATAATTATATGCCTTAACGTGATTAAGGTGGCAATTATTATGTAATACCAAATATGCTAGTCATGCGAGAGAGAGAGAGAGAAAAAACATTTATCAAATTCCGGTAAATAGCCAAAAGGCACAAAAATATCCAACTTATTTTGCTTTATAGAAATAAAGATTTATATTTTTGATATTTTTGTGGAAATAGACGATTGTTAAATGCCTTATTTAGGAATCGAAAGATATTTCTTACATTTCAATTATTTTAAGTAAATGAAATAAATCTTAATACTATGTATATTTATTTTACGTTGTTCACTGCACGTATGGGTAACATACGCATAATAACACACCATACGCCTACGTAACCCATATTATGATAGGACCTTCAATATACCGGAAAAGAGGTGAGGAAAAGATGATTACCTAATAGGTAGGCTAGCGTTTTACGGGGATATACCAAAACGGGGTCAATATGGATCATTTTGGGTATTGAAATCCTTTTTAGTACAAAGATGTGTGAGAACCGTCTGAGCAACGTCTGAGCTAAATTTCAGAGCTCTATCTTAAATATTGTTATCTCTATCTAAAAGAGGGACTTTAGAGGGGATTCTGATTAAGAATATATATACTTTATGGGGTCTCCGGTGAATATTTCGAGGTATTGCAAACATAATGACAAATTTAATATAAAATTATGATGCAGGGTATACAAATTTAAGATCCACTTTTGTAGGACCATTTTTTTGGTAGCCACATGTAATGGTACCACAAATTATTAGTATATATATTTGAGAGTTTTGAACGTATTTTTTGTCCGAATTGGCTGTAATTTAGTACTTTGATATTTTCGATATTTTGATTATTCGTTTTTCAACCGAAAAAATTTGATATTCGCTCCCATATAACCCTGTTTTTTATTAAAATAGTTATTTGGTTTACAAGCCGAACTATTCAAGACTGGTGGTCAGATGCTGGTAAGGAGCATGCACTAGCTGATTAGTACAATTTGGCTAGAGGAAAGAATGCCCAATAATTGGAACCTCACCATCAAAAAGGAGACAAGACTATATATGCCAACTATAGAGGAATAAGTCTCCTTCCCATCGTATATAAAGTGCTATCCAGCGTGTTGTGTGAACGACTGAAGCCAATTGTCAACGACATTATTGGACCATACCAATGCGGCTTCAGACCAGGCAAGTCCATCATTGACCAGATTTTCACTCTGCGCCAAATCCTGGAAAAATCCTGCGATAAACACATCGACACATTCCACCTATTCGTCGACTATAAAGCCGCATTCGATAGCCCTATCCGTTCAGAGGTTTTTAAAGCCATGTCTGCGTTTGGCATTCCTGCAAAATTAATTCGGTTATGTAGGATAACTTTAACTGGCACAATATCAAAATCGGAACGAACCCCTCGGAGCCTTTTAATGCCGAAAGAGGATTCAGACAAGGTGACAGTTTGTCATGTGACCTTTTTAACATCCGATGGTATCAATGCGCAAGACGTCCAGTAGACTCGGATCAACTGTGGAACTTGAGAACTACAGCTTCGAGGCAGTCAAAGATTTTATATACCTTGGTACCGCCATAAATAAAACTTATGACATCAGTTTTGAAATTCGGAGAAGGATAGTGTTGGCCAACAGATGGTACTATGGTCTAAGTAAGCAACTCATAAGCAAGGCCACCTCACGCCAGACCAAACGCACACTCTACAAGACGCTAATACAAACCACGCTATTATATGGATCTAAAGCATGGGTACTTACGCAAGCAGATGAGGCAGCTCTTGGAGTGTTTGAGTGAAAAATTCTCTAATCTGCGTTGACGGTGAATATCGACATCGAATGAACCATGAGCTGTACCAGCTATTCCCGGACATCGGCATTGTTAGACGTATTGAGCTGCAGCGATTACGTTGGCTAGGTCATGTTGTGAGAATGGATGTCCAAGCCCTAAAGGCATATAAAAGCGAACCGGCTGATGGTTCACGCAGAAGGGAAGGCCACGAATAAGATGGAAAGATCAAGTGGAGGACAACATTTCCAAATATGATCTTCCAAACTGGAAAAACTGCGCAAAAGACCGACGCGACTGGAAATTTTTTTTAAGCTCGGCTTATGGAACGTAAGTTCCGTCACAAGCCAGCTAAGTAAGTAAGTTATTTGGTTTGTTTTGATTTAGCCATCTTTTGTAATCATTGTACCATCGGAGGAGATAATAAGCCGGAACCTTAGTTTCGAGAATGAAGTATATTGATCCGCATATTCGATATTTACAGGGTATTATGTCTTTGTGCATATGGTTGTAACAGGCAAAAGTAATCGAGATAGATCCATGGTTCCTTTAGAGAATATGCATAGAATCACTTTCGGAGTTGTCCGTCCGTCTGTCCATGTTTTCTTGTGAACAAATTACCGATCGCATTTATGATCCGATTTAGATGAAATTTGGCATAGCTCACTTATTTGGCCCAATGACGAACCCTATTGGAAAATGGAAAATCGGTTCAGATATAGCTCCCATATATGTTTTCGTCCGATTTTATCTAAATGGTGCAACAAAAACCCAATATTTGTCCGATCGAAACGAAATTTTTTACAGCGTACTGAATTAGGTCCGTATTGATATATACGAAGTTATGTGGAAATCAGTCGAGATTTAGATATAGCTCTCATATATAGTTTCTTCCGATTTTATCTAAATGGTGCACCAAACACCCAATATTTGTCCGATCGAAACAAAATTTTTTACAGAGTACTGAATTAGGTCCGTATTGATGTATACGAAGTTTTGTGGAAATCGGTTCAGATTTGGATATAGCTCTCATATATAGTTTCGTCCGATTTTTGGTAAATGGTGCACCAAACTCTCAATATTTGTCCGATTCAAAAATTTTTTTTTGCACAGCGCACTGACTTAATTCCAGTTTGATATCCGTGAAGTTTTATTGAAATCGGTTCAGATTCTGATATACCTACCATGTATTGTTTCGTCCGATTTTATGTAAAATGTGCCCCAAACTCCCACGGATTGTCCCATTGATATACATTTTTGCACAGTGTATTAAAATAGAGAACGATGTCAATGAGGAGATAGCAATAATTGTTGAATGTGATCTTGTAGTTCGAGGCTAGTGTGTCAAGTCACCCTCAACAACGTAAGCCAAATATACTCGTTATCATTGTGTTAGTGGTGGTGATTTTGTTTGAGAAAGTTTGATGCATGAGGATATTAGATCGCCCATGGCATAGGCGTCTAAGTATCCACAAACACAGTCTGTACCCTGGCTACAAAATGTGAAACCCTAATGAGCACAAGACTGTCTAACATCTAGCTTTAAAGATGTCACATTTGGATAAAAGTGACCTAAAACCTAACTTATTTAAGGGGAGCCATTGTAGCATCGTTAATCTTGGGATCATAGGCACTCGGTCATTTCCTCCAAACTCTCCCACAAAATCCGCAGATTGTTCTCGACTGTTTATTTAGATTCGCAGCTACTCACGCGCCTACTATGGGCAGAGTTCAATTCAATTTTTTTTTTTAATTTCCAACAAAAATATAAAAAATCGTTACTACCGAGTGTAAGGTGCTTCCGAAATATATCGTCAACTTTTCACAAAATAAATTCATTCATAAAAACCCCTATTCAATAAACAACTTGCAATCTACGAGTACGTTGGCGTACCTTGTGTAAATTGAAAATTTAACAGACAAATTGAAATTCATGAAAGCAGGCGACAAACTGCAATGACAACCAGAACGAAACTAAACGATTTCGGAATAGACACATTTACGAAGTTATGATAAAATTAATATTTACGATTTTCAAAGAAATTTGGATACGCTTGCGGATTTAGTTGACAATCAACGAGAAGTATTTATGCACCGAAATTTAAAAAATGTCCAGATGATTTTGAAAGGATTAATGATAGAGGAGTTAAAGTTAAAGTTGATGACGGATTGCACAAGGTAGTCTTTATATAGACAAACTGAAGAGAGTGGTTGTAATTTGGGATTCCGGGATGAATAAAAAATTATTAGGAACAAATATTTCTATTTATGCTTCTGTTTTTAAGTAGACCCGCTCCATTTTAGGTATTTTTGTGGCACCAGATCCATTTTTCAACCGAAGTGACTGTAATTTAACATTCTGGGTTCCTGTGAGTAGAGGTTTCCACCCCATTTTAATGCTTCCAAATTCATTTTCAAATGGAAGAGACTGTATACTGCCATTCCGCTTTTTTGGAAATTAAAACAGATGATTTACCCTCATAATCCGGTTTTGGAGTGTGAATAACATATACTATATTTTTTGACATAGCCTCCATTATTAAGGTCCAGCCCTTTGGTTATCTTTCACCACACTATCGCACAGGGTATTATGTGTATGTGTTTGTGCATATGTTTGTAACAGGCAAAAGGAAACGAGATGGTTCCTTTTGAGAATAGGCATAGAATCGCTTTCTGAGTCGATTTGTGCATGTCTGTTAAATTGTAAGCAAAGTACAGGTCGCTTTTATTATCCAAATTGGATGCAATTTATTTCGCTTAAGAACGAACGCTATAGAAAATCGGTTCAGATTTAGTATAACTCCCATATATAGGTTTACCCGATTTCACGATAGTTCACCCAAGTCACAGTTTTTGTTGGCTTGAGACAAACTATTGCGCACTGAATTAAGTACGGATTGTTACTTACTTACTTAGCTGGCTTGTTACAGAACGGTTGTTCCATAAGCCGAGCTTAAAAAAGATTTCCAAGCGCGTCGGTCTTGTGCGCAAGTCCACCAATTTGGAAGACCACGTTCCAAAGATGTTGTTTTCTACTTGGTCTTTCCATCTAATTCGTGGCCTTCCCCTTCTACGGGAACCATCAGTAGGCTCATTTTTATATGCCTTTTGAGCTGGGGCATCTTCATTCATCCGCACAACATGGCCTAGCCACCGTAGTCGCTGCAGCTCAATACGACTGACTATGTCGATGTCCGCGTATAAATTGTAGAGCTCGTGGTTCATTCGACGCCGATATTCACCGTCGACGCAGATCGGCCCGTAGATCTTTCGGAGAATTTTTCTCTCAAACACCCCAAGCGCTGCCTCATCTGCTTGCGCAAGTACTCATGCTTCTGATCCATATAATAGCACGGGTAGTATCAGCGTCCTGTAAAGTGTGAGTTTGGTCTGGCGAGAGGTGGCCTTGTTTCTAAACTGCTTACTTAGACCATAGTAGCATCTGTTGGCCATCACAATCCTTCTCCGAATTTCAAAACTGATATTATTCGTTTTATTTATGGCGGTACCAAGGTATATAAAGTCTTTAACTACCTCGAAGCTGTAGTTCTCAAGTTCCACAGTTGGTCCGAGTCTACTGGACGTCTTGCGCGTTAATACCATCAGCTTGGTCTTCTCGCCGTTTACTGCCAGACCCACTTTGGCAGACTCCTTTTCAATTTGTTCAAAGGTGGCTGTTAGCGCTCGCAATGTTCGACCCATTATATCGATGTCATCGGCGTAGGCGAGTAACTGATGTTGTTTGGTGTACAGAGTGCCATTTCTGTTCACCCGTGCGTCTCGTATGACCTTTTCCAGTAGGATGTTAAAAAGATCACACGACAAACTGTCACCTTGTCTGAATCCTCGTTCGGTATTGAAGGGCTTCGATAGGTCCTTTCCTACTTTAACGGCTGACCTTGTACCACTTAAAGTTATCCTGCATAGCCGTATTAATTTTGCAGGAATGCCGAACGCAGACACACCTCTGAACGAATAGGGCTGTCGAATGCGGCTTTATAGTCGACAAATAGGTGGTATGTGTCGTTGTGTTTTTCGTGGGTCTTTTCCAGGATTTGGCGCAGAGTGAAAATCTGGTCAATGGTAGATTTGCCAGGTCTGAAGCCGCATTGGTATGGTCCGATGATGTCATTGACCATTGGCTTCAATCGTTCACACAGCACACTGGATAGTACTTTATATGCGATGGGAAGGAGACTTATTCCTCTATAGTTGGCACATATCGTCTTGTCTCCTTTTTTGTGCACGGGACACAGGATGCTGAGGTTCCAATCATTGGGCATGCATTCATCTAGCCAAATTGTGTTAATCAGCTGGTGCATGCTCCTGACCAGCATCTGGCCACCAGTCATGAATAGTTCGGCTGGTAGCCCATCGGCTCCTGCTGCTTTGTTGTTCTTGAGCCGATTAATTGATTTTATGACCTCATCTTGGCTAGGTGGTATACACTCTATACCATCATCTCTTATTGGTTCTGGGGTATCTTCTTCATCGCCACTATTTGAAACTAGTAGCTTTTCGAAATGCTCCTTCCAGATCCTCAACACGCTGTCTGTATCTGTCACCAGGTTGCCTTCTTCATCCCTACAGGAGGATGTGCCTGCACCAAAGCCTTCGGTTTAGTGTTTTACTCGTTGGTAAAATTTCCGGACTTCATTCTGACTCCTGTACATCTCGATTTGCTCACGCTCACGTTTTTCTTGTTCTTTCTTCTTTTTTCTGAAAACACGTTTCTCCTCTCTCCTTTTCTCCCGATAATTCTCCATCACGTTACGTGTTGCTACTGTCTGCAGCGTTGCCCTATACGCTGCGTTTTTCACATCAGTAGCATTACGACACTCCTGATCGTACCATGGGTTTCTTGGTGGTGGTTTTTGGTACCCAATTGTTCTTTTTGCTGCAGTTTGTAGGGAGTGGGCAATTCTTTGCCATTGTGCTTCTATACTATTATCGAGACAAGAAGTGCTTTCTTCAAGCAGATGGGTACGTTGAGCGGAGTAGGCCTCGGCTACCTGTTGTGTTTGCAGCTTTTCGACGTCGAGTTTCCGTGTTGTATTAGATCGCACCTTTGCTGCAACATTAAGACGGGTGCGTACCTTGGCTGCCACAAGGTAATGGTCCGAATCGATATTCGCTCCTCGGATCGTTCGGACGTCTAAAACACTGGATGAATGCCTTCCGTCTATCACAATGTGATCAATTTGATTTCTCGTTACTTGATCAGGAGAAATCCAGGTGGCCTTGTGTATATCGAGATGCTTGAATCTGGTGCTGCTAACTACCATGTTTTTTGCTGCCGCGAAGTCAATCAACCTCATGCCGTTGTCGGATGTTTCTTCATGAAGGCTGAATTTTCCGACGGTGGGGCCAAAGATATTTTCCCTTCCGATTTTTGCATTAAAATCTCCTAGCAGAATTTTAATGTCATGGCCAGGGCAACGGTCATGTGCTGTTTCTAGGCGCTCGTAAAATATGTCTTTGGTCTGTTCATATTTTTCTTCGGTCGGAGTATGGGCGCAAATTAGACTGATGTAAAAGAACTTCGCTTTTATACGGATTATAGCAATTCGCTCATCTACTGGAGTGAATCTGGAGACAAGGCCTTTTATTCTCCTGTTAACCATAAATCCGCAGCCAAATTCATGTCTCGTTTCATGCAGCTATAATACAGGGCGTAATCGTCTGATTTACTTACGCCTGTCGAACACTGCCCCTGTTCTATACAACGTGCGCACATTCCAAGTGCAGATTCGCAGATCGTGGTCCTTTATACGTTTGCGGGGGTCGTCAACATTAAGGGGGTGTGGTTTTCTTTTTCTTTGCTTTTCATCGGGTGATGAGAATAGCTCCCCAGGTGGCACCGCGGGGAGTTCAGTGTCCACAATTGAGATGAAAGAGGGACCAAGATAAGCCTGGGCTTCGCCATGTTAAAACCAATCAGAGCCGTTGCTTGGTATCTATCATCCCCTACGCCACCCTACGGTGGCGGATTGACGTATGTGAAATGTTGTATAAATCGGTCGGTTCAGATTTACATATAGCTCCCATATATATTTTTGTCCGATTTTAAGGAAACGGACCACCAAAGACCCTATACTTTTTCGATTTACACGAAATTGTGCATGGCATATCAAATTGAGTCTAGGAGGATCTATGCTAAGTTTTGTTGTAATCTTTTCAGATTTAGATATAGCTCCCATATATATTTTCTTCCGATTTTTGATAAATTGTGCACTAAACTCCCAAGATTTTTTCGATTAAGACAAAACCAAACGTACCAAATTGGGTCTATAATGATGAGTTTCATTGAAATCGGTTTAGATTTATATATAGCTGACATATATATGTTCGTCAGATTTTCAGAAAATGGAGCTTATACTTTTTACACGAAAATGAACATAGCATATCAAATGGAGTCTAGAACGATCTGTCCTAAGTTTCGATAAAATTGATTCAGATTTAGACATAGCTCCCATATATGTATGTTTGTCCGATTTTATGTAAAATGGGCACTAAACTCCCAAGGTTTTTTTCGATTAGGACGGAATTTAGAAATCCACATTGTATTGAGTCTAAAACGACGTGTATTTAGATTCGTGAATATCGGTTCAAATTTACATATAGTTCCCATAAATATTTTCTTTCGTCTTTATATAAATAGTGCAATAATCGGAAATAAAGTCTAAGTCTGAGTGGGATATCCAAATCTGAACCGATTTAAAAAACTTGGCACACGTTAGTCTACTATAACTTCGGTACGTTGTGGACCATTTTGCCATAATCGGGGTAACTTTGGGTGCACAATTTACTTAAAATCGGACGAAACTACATTCGGCAGCTATATCCAAATAACCAGCTATATCCTATATCTAAATCGGAACCGATTTTCCTAATTTCAATAGTTCGTTCGTCCTTGGGCCAAATAAATGAGCTGTGCTAAATTTCATCCAATTCGAATCATAAATGCGACCTGTACTTTGATTACAATTTAACATGGACATACAGACAAACGGACGGACTTAAAAAGTGATTCCATGCATATTCTCAAAAGGAACCATGTGTCCATCTCGTTTCCTTTTGCCTGTTACAAACATATGAACAAAGACATAAAAATGGTACGCCAAAGACTCCAATTGGTTAAATTTCAGAATGATATGTGTTTGGCATGATTTCTTCACATAGTGAATATCCTTGTGATGATTAGAACTAGTTCGGCTTAGCCGAACTTATAATTCATTTTTATTTGCTTCAAATACATATCCATACCCACATTAATATGCGTGCAGCCCGTATTAAATGCAATTAGCGATAAATTTTGTGTTTAACAAGATTTTTCCATTTGATTTAGTCGTACGATATGTAAACCGATTAATTATCTTGTCATAGTTGATGATTATTCACAAAACCAAAATTAAAGAGCTGTTGTGAAATATTACACACACACTCACAGAATATTCAAATCACCCACGAAAATCAATGAATTTGTCAATAATAATTTCAATTGAATAAATAAATGAACAAGGTCATTCGAGAAGTGAATCTAGATCCGTTTTGAAAATGTCGCAATAGAATTAAACAAACAAAATACAACAAATTTTGGAGGACAACTTACCAATGAGTAATTGTTGATGTTGTTGTTGCTGCTGTTGCTGTTCATCACCATAAACATGCCACGTTGAGGTTGTGACCAGCAGACAAATTATGGCATTCAATTGAAGGCGGGATTCCATGATTAGTTTGTACTTGTTTATGTTGTTGTGTGTGTGTACTTTATTTATTTATTTATTTTTTTGCTATTTTTTTAAAGTTTGCAAGGATTTAAGTTTTCAAAATATTTTTTTTGTTATTTTAAGACGTTTTGTTGAATGCTCAACCACACTGAAGATATTTTCTCGTTATATTTGCATTATTATCCACGACATGATTTTGTTGTATTATCCATTATCAATTAGCTTATCCAATTTCAGTATAATTTTCATTAGCATTGCTTATGAGGCATTTTTATGGAAAATGTTCGTTTTGAAATCTGAAAAAAGAATTGGAAATTATTATATTGGATTAATATTGTGTATTAATTATATTTCTATGAAAAAAAAATATTTTAAACAATTTACGTTAAGCACAAAACCTCAAAGGATAAGCTTATAATTTTCCTGGCTTGCTATTCTGGTTCTGCGCTATACATTGTTAATACCCTAACTTTTATGGATAATTGTAATATCCCTATGGATAATGGGTATATACACTTTACTACGACCAGAGGTCCGCCAGAAACAGTGACGTAAATGACATACATTTACGACGTATAATACATACGTCAGAAACGTCGTAAACCCACCCAAAACCGTTAGGCTTTTGACAAAATAGCTATTTCCATCAAACAATTTGGAAATTGCGTATTCTTTTCTCAAATCCATATCAAATTTCAAAATGTTCTTCTCCAAAAAGTTTAGAATTTTTTATCAGTTCTAGTAAGGAATAGTCAGATATATTTATAAATAATATATATTCTTGAAAATAATTGTATATAGTGATAATATTCAAATAAATGACGTGTACTACATTAATTACATTTTATACAAGTATATGACGTTTACACCTTTTTGACAGTAGAAAACCTTAAAATTCGTCACACGGGCCATCCCTGACTACGACATACATATGCCTAGTCGAAATATTTATTTTAGACTCGAAGTTCCTTTGGATGAAATCTGTTTTACACAATTTAGAGTCGTAATGCTACTGAGGTTAAACACGCAGCATATAAGTCAACCCTGCCGACATTAACGGCACGCAATGCGAGAGAGAATTATCGGAAGAAAAGAAGAGATGAGAAACCTATTTTCAAACAAGTGAAAAAGGCCTTAAGTACGGCCCTGCTGAACTTTGTACCCTCCACCATAGGTATACTGATAATTACTTGAAATGAGAATATAGAGAACAAAAAAAGTTATTGGATCCTCAATGTTGCGTCAGACCTGGCAAATCCACCACACTGCGCCAAATACTAGAAAAGACCCACGAAAAACATATGGACACATCCACCTATTCGTCGACTTTATGGCCGCATTTAACAGCCCAATCCGCTCAGAGGTGCGTTCGGCAATCCTGAAAACAGCAGTTAAAGTCGGAATGGACCTCTCAGAGTCCTTCAATACCAAACGAGTATTCAGACAAGGTGACCAAAAGGTCATACAAGAGACAATTATGAACATAAATGGCAAAAGGCGTTAAGAACGGCCGTGCTGAACTTTGGATACCCTCCACCATAGGTATACTGATAATTACTTGAAATGAAAATATAGAGAACAAAAAATGTATGTGTAGGTTTCTGGAGGCTATACCTAAAGAAGGATCAATATTGATTACATCGTATAGGAATTTCCGAACAGTTGGAGTTATTATTATATGAGGTTCTATGCCTAATTGAGGACTGATATAGGTCAAATTCATACCAAACGTTTTTGCATCACAATACCATCCTTCACGCTAAATACAATACAAATACCGAAAATAGGTAGTTATCATTACATGGGGGGTAGGCATAAAGGTGGGCCGATATATTTCATTCTCAAACCTGGCGTTTTAGTTTTTTATCTCAATATCCACCGAAGGTAGAATGATTACAACATATGGCTAAATGGTATTAGAATTCCATTCTTTCGTGCACAGAATATCCCCCCAACTATGGTGGAATACGAGTATATGGGAATAAACCCAAAACGCGTAGCAAATTATATAATATAAACAAGTGAAAAAAAGTTCTGCCGGGCCGAACTATTGATACCCACCACCATATGTATACTGACCAGGGACGTAAGCAGGGGGCGGCACTGGTGAACTTGAGAACTACAGCTTCGAGGTAGTCGAAGATTTTATATACCTTGGTACCGGCATAATGACATCATTTTTGAAATTTTTGAAAAGCAAGGCCACCTCTCCCCAGACCAAACTCAAGACGCTGATACTACTCGTGCTGTTGTATGGATCTGAATCATGGGTACATGCCCAAGCAGTGAGGCAGAGAAGGCCAAGCTGATGGTATCAACGCGCAAGATGTCCAGTAGACTCGGACCAACAGTGGAAATTGAGAACTACAGCTTCGAGGTAGTCAAAGATTTTATATACCTTGGTACCGGCATAATTACATCATTTTTGAAAAGCAAGGCCACCTCTCCCCAGACCAAACTCATGACGCTGATACTACTCGTGCTGCCGTATGGATCTGAATGATGGGTACATGCGCAAACAGTGAGGCAGATTTTGGAGTGTTTGAGAGAAAGATTCTCCGAAATATTTGGGCTGATCTGCGTCGACGGCGAATATCGACGTCGAATGAACCATTAGTTGTACCATCTATTTTCGGACATCGATGTAGTCAGATGTATCGAACTACAGAGACTACTTTGGCTAAGTCATGTGAGAGGATACGGATGCCCCAGCTCAAAAGGCATATAAAAGCGATCCAACTGGAAGGGAAGGCCCCGAATTCGATGGAAAGATCAAGACAAAATTTCGAAACATGATCTTTCAAATAGGAAGAGCAACGCACAAGACCGACGCGCCTGGAAATCTTTAAGCTCGTCTTATGGAACAAATGTTCGGCCTCAATCCAGCTAAGTAAGTAAGTATTTTCAATAAACATTGTACTATTCGATTGAATCATTTGTCAATTTCGATCAATCGAAGTCGTTGCATATGCAATACCACAAAAATGATTCATTTCCAATTACATTTCACCTTAAGGCATGTCGATGATGATGATGCAGTTGCTGATGACGATGATCATGCCATTTCATGTTATATTTCTTCTCATATCTATGAAATCAATTATTGGCGCCACTATAAATATCCATCACAAAGATGAAAGACAAACAACAACAACAATTGCTTTGAGAGAAGAATAAATGGCAGCAATGCCGCACCAATTGAAATATTTTAGCTTCCATCCATTATTGCAAATGACTTCTGTCTTCTGCGGTATATCAAGTGTATGAATGTGCAACAATTGGCTGTCTATGTGGGAATAGTGTTGCCATAAAAAACAGTTTGTGCTTGCTTCATCGAAAAATTGTGATTAAGAGAACGCTCTGACTCTGGTATGAACAAAAGGATTATTGACTTCGTCCGAAAATTAGCAAAATGGCGTGCATGGGAAAACCTTTTTTGGAAAATCACATATTTCCATTTTCCAAAACCCAAGCTGGAAAATAAGGAAGATTACCTATCGCGGTTCATACGATAGATAGGTATGTCCACAATAACGTGTAAAAATTTTGGAACCAATTAGATTCATAGTTAATGGTTATTCTTAACATGCCTCTGTTATGCCAGAAGCCCCCTAAAAAAAGAAACGTTCTTTCTCAACATTAATTTTGTCCGGTCCTATTTTTGGAGTTGCCAAAATGGCAACTCTGCTTTATAAAAAAAGCAGCAACATCACAATGTTGTATAGCCAGCGCCACCAATAGATTTATAGACCTTCTTCCCGTTGCTGTTGTTTTTGCTGTATGAAACACACAATCATCATCGCACGAACCACAATAACCACAACCGCAACATCATAGCTGCCTGTCTACTCAAGATTAATTTCTCATCCGACATCAAGGACTGACTGAAGCTGTGGCAGCAGCAGCTGCTGCTGTTGCTCCCTCTCACATCGAGAGTTATATGTGGCAAACATGTCTCGATATCGACGACGACGACGGCGATGATGATCAATGATTGTTTGTCTATATGTATGTATTTTGATTGCTTATTGGCGTTCGCCGCTTGGGCATGAAATCAGACAATTGATTTCAAATTAAGATTCCGTTTATCTTCATTCTTTGTGGGGATTCTGGGGTTTCTTTTTTATTCTGTTTTTTTTTTTTTTTTTTTTTGTTCTTATTGTAATGACGGATGATCATCGAGGTAAGCATGATTACCCATATTGGTAGTATTAGCATAATAACATTAGGTCTCTGTTTGTTGGTTTATCCCCCCACCCTCTATTTTCAGTTCATTGCTAGTGGCAAAGGAAATCACTAATTTGCCGCACAATATTTCCATAGTCTATGAGCTAATTTTTTAAATTAGATATGAGGGATGCTATATATTTCTGTGCTAATAATGAAATTCGGAACAAATTTTATACATTTTGCTAGATAATACTACTTATCCAGCAAGATTTATAGAATTTATCCACTCTGATTGAGATCCTTCCATAATAGACATTATGAAGGCTTCAACAGGATTTTCTGGTTTCTGGTCAATGTTTTGGACGGCCAAAAAGACGTCGATTTGATCCGATATGTGAGAAAGCTCGCATTACCATGCTCCATATTTTTTCGAATTTCTCGGAAGACTGAAGACAACTAATACGAACCATTTTGAGGCGATTATGAACTCGTGCGATCAAAGATCGAAAGATCAAAGACGAAGATCTTCAAAATTAGATTCCGCCAAATTTTAGGTATTTTCTAACCGAAGAAGCCGTAATTTGGCAATATGGACACTTACTGGACAAACAAACTTTTAATATAGGAAAATTTTTGACATAGCTCCCGCCCCATTTTGAAGATTTTAGCTGCATTTTTCAAACATTGTTCAAATTAAAACACTTTCTTGAATGTTCTTCGAACAATATTTTTTTATTAATAGCTTGGGATCATGACAGCCTCTCTTGGTAAAATTTTTAACATCCAGCTGGAAAAGGTTATACGAGAGGCAAAGGTAAACAGAAATGATACTCTGTACACCAAATAACACATG